TCCTATAAACAGTGAGATATATTGTCAACCAGAGCACTTGAGAGGAAACAAACAAGTTCAGGTGGAAACTCCTGTTGAAACGCACTTTTCATACATACAACTCTGGGTCTCAGATTGCATTGCTGCAAGGTTATCGCCAAAACAAGGTTTTTGTAAAGTTTGAAATGTCATTTTTGGACCCTCTATTTTTGCAAATATTTCAGCCCACAGGAACACTACAAGGAAAAGGGAAAGTGATTTGAGATGCTGCTGTTGCCGTGCATTAGTGAAGACTTGTTTGGTTACATTTAGGGACTGAATCCCGATGGCTGATAGGATAAAAGGGTTTTTGGGTAACCCTAAAAAACGTGTTTTTTAAAGATATCTTTCCAACCAGTGAGTGAAATTGAAAATGAAGCTCACCATGAGAAAATTCAGAGCGTGATTCACCTATAAGGCCTTTTACTTTGGACGCGCTGGGCTGTTATTGGTGTTCAAATTGAGATTAAAGCCCAAAATTGGATTTTCAGAAATACCCTTAATTCAGACTTTTCGAAAACTTTTTTTTTTGAAAAAAAAAAATTTCTTAACTATGGGAGCGAAAAACATGGAACCCGTGTTTTGCAGATATTTAATGAACTAAAGAGCTTTTAGTGATATTGGAAAGGGTTTCTATATCCAATTTTTGTCTATTTTTTAGTGGATTGGTTTAAATTTCAAAATTCGTTTTGGTTGCGTTTTTATTGTTAAAGTTGTGTCAAAAAATGGGAAATTGGTGATTTGCAAACCCGATAAAATGAAGACTACAGCTCTTCAGAGGACCTCCCATGTGCAAGGTGGTATCATTATGGAAAATAGAGGTAAAAATACAACATTTGCAGTTGAGATTGGGAAGAGGGAGATACATTTTGGAAAGTTGATAGAAAAAGAAGGAAGTTGTGAAAGTGATAAATTTGGATAAATTTGTTGATATTTTTGAAAGGGAGAAGGGTTTTGGGGAGGTTCACAGAGGGTTAGGGAGGTGAGCACATGGGGATTCCATATCCATTACACTTTTACCACTACAAGACACTTTGCTAACAAGTTTTCGGTCAAGAAGGGGGACAAGTGGTGAAAAGGGGGATTTCAAACCCGATAAAATGGAAGCCAGGGCCATAACCATGGAACCATATGAGAAACAGAGAGTTGCATTAGAATCTACAGGTGGGAATACAACATATAAACATGTTTTTAGAGTACCGCTGATGTATTGGAGGCCCAATTTCAGCAGGTATCTATGCCAAATTCTGTTGATTTATTTGCTTGATTCTCAAAAACCAGTGAAAATTCGCGGAAACCAGGCAAAAGCCAGTGAATCGGGTTGAAAAATCCATCCAAGGGTCCATGAAAACCGCTGTTTTGGAAAATTCCGGGTCAATTTTGGTGGTGAATGGTTGTTTTAAGAGTGGGTTATATATCAAAATTTTGAGAATTTTACGGTCAAGGTATCAGATTTGGAGAAAGTTGAAGTGTTGCGGGTAGAATTACCAGAATATGGTGGTGTGGTGATACATGGGTGGTTTGTGAATCCGATAAAATGAACACTACAGGTTCTCAGAGGAGCTCCCGTGTCCAAAGAGGGTGTTATATGGAAACTAGAGGTGGAAATACAACTTTTGGTGTTATGATTGGTGCGCTAGGGCTACTTTTTGGAGAGTTGTGTGACAAAGTTTGAAACCCGTGAAAGTGGATTTGGAATGTTTGTTGAGTTGAATTTCCACAACTTTGGTGGTGTTTGGAGATGATTATGGGTTTCCAGGAAAGTCAAGAAGCCAAAGTTTTTAGTTCTGGTGTCTTTTTGTTGATCTGTGGTGGTTTGGAGTTGTGGAACCCCAAGGAAGTGAGAAACATGGTGTTTTTCAGGCGGTCGGGTCCTATAAACAGTGAGATATATTGTCAACCAGAGCACTTGAGAGGAAACAAACAAGTTCAGGTGGAAACTCCTGTTGAAACGCACTTTTCATACATACAACTCTGGGTCTCAGATTGCATTGCTGCAAGGTTATCGCCAAAACAAGGTTTTTGTAAAGTTTGAAATGTCATTTTTGGACCCTCTATTTTTGCAAATATTTCAGCCCACAGGAACACTACAAGGAAAAGGGAAAGTGATTTGAGATGCTGCTGTTGCCGTGCATTAGTGAAGACTTGTTTGGTTACATTTAGGGACTGAATCCCGATGGCTGATAGGATAAAAGGGTTTTTGGGTAACCCTAAAAAACGTGTTTTTTAAAGATATCTTTCCAA